GTGCTGAGGCATCACAGCTCACAGCAACCTCAAATTCTCGGGCTCAAGCAATTCTCTTGCCTCAGCCTCCCAAGTAGCTGGGACTACAGACACCCGTCACAACACCCGGCTATTTTTAGAGACGAGGTCTCGCTTTGGCTCAGGCTGGTCTTGAACCTGTGAGCTCAGGTGATCCACCACCTCAGCCTCCCCAGGTGCTAGGATTACAGGCATGAGCCACTGTGCCCGGCCAAAAAATGAATTTTTCAAAAGTCCATGCTCAACTATGTTAACGCGGTTTCCTCTCATATTCTAAAACTGATGAATACCTTCAGGAGAAGCAGCTGTGTGGGAGGCTGGCAGTGGGATTAGAGGCCAACAGGAGCTCAGCCAGCCAGTGTGTCGGGCAGTACGCTACCACTCATGTCAGGAGAGAATGCTTCTCTCCTACGCTAAGGCAGGCAAGGAGATTTCTTCTTTGAATTTTATGTTGGTCCCCTCAATGGCCTCTGATGTTAAATGGAGTCTTCCTTCCAGTCCAGTTTGAAGGATCTGAGCGACCTTCTGTCAGGGAGGAGACGGTGAGGCAGCACCACCGGCAGAAGAGCTGGACCCAGAAGATCTTGAAGCCAGCGCTCTCTGACCACAGTGATGGGGAGAAAGTGGACCCAGGCCTGCCCCTGGAGAAGCAGCCGTGAGTCTCCCCCATAGATCCTTGTAACCGACAACACCTGGAAGCTTGACAGCCCCAGGGTGGGGGCACACTGGCCCACTTTACATGATTACTTTTGTTTATGAATATTTGTCTGGAGCTTATTAATGAAAACCCATCTTGGAAGCCTAGTGCATTCATGCTGAATGGAAAGCACACTGCATCTTGACAGTGTTTGGGGTTTTAGTTCTCACTCTCCTGTACAAAGTGAAAACTCTTTAGATGACACCAGCCTGTTAGCTCTTGGATGATTGATGGGCTTTGTGATCGAGAGGCCCGCAGATCTGCGCTTTGTCTTTTCTGAGTGGGAAGCAGGATCTAGTTCAGGATGTCGAGCTCCTACCAAAGTTCATTTCAAATAATGCTTCGTGGAAGGATGCACAGTCTGGTTTCACGTGCTGACATTCACGGCACCGTCCCTTCTCCCACCCCATTTTTTTCAGTTGGTATCATGGTGCCATTACCCGTGCTGAGGCTGAGAGTCGACTACAACCCTGCAAAGAAGCTGGTTATCTGGTTCGAAACAGTGAGTCAGGGAACAGTAGGTACTCCATTGCACTAAAGTGAGTATTTGAGCCTGGTGAATGTGGCTTTTTTTCCCAGGAGAGGGGACACTGTGAATGGGCAGATGGCAGGTCAAAATCTAACGTGCAGGTGGTTTACAGGGGTGTGTATTGCAGAACATAAGATGCATTTGCTTGCAACATGAGACTCTCTGAATAGACTGTAAAATTGGTGTTAGGTAAATGCCTCGATATTTATTAAGCTAATGACAGGCTTATTTTGTTATCTTTGTGTGTTAGTCCATTTCTACCTTACATTACTGGATCTGTACTAGGCTGTCTTAGTAGAGAAATAATTCCTGATAAAAAGAATAGTTCCAGTCATTCTTCTTTTATTCCCTAGTACTAGGGACTTTAATAAATTAGATCCTTTGATTGTCAAAATGCCGATGGCAATTTTGATACCAGTTTCTTCTGGTGAGGAAGGAAATGCTGACTTGCCTGCTACTCCCCCTGTCGGACGTGCACAGAACATTTACTGTGGCCTGGCAGGCCTGGTGGAGTGTGTGTCATGGAAATTCTCGTTGCTCTGTGAGTGCGCTGGTGCTGTATTGGAGGGTCATTGTCAAGAGCCTGAACAGCGTTTCCTTCCTGAGGAAGCTGAGCCCCTGCAGCTGGAACAATCAGACTGGAGGGGAACTTAGGGGGTGGGGGGACGTATGTTGGAGCAACAGGGCTCAGAAAATGGGACAGGCCACCAGATATACAACACCGGGAATAGCTCTGCCGTGCTCCTGAAACTGGTGCTTGTGGATTAAATGTTTGAGCCTTCAGTGCCAGCTGTCATTATGTGCAAGCCAGGAGTGGTCTTTTTAGATGAAGGTGGCAGGAAACAGTTTGAGAATGATGATTCATGTGGTCTTTATAGAAAAAAGGTGGAGGAACCCTTCTATATGTACTCTTACCAGGCCCTGGTAAGAAGGTGGGTTCCCTTCATCTGAGCCTTGTGCTTGGGCGTAAGCACTTGTTTGGCAATTTGAGGGCCAGAAGGAACTTGGCACTTTTTAAATTGTTTTCTTTGGGTCAGAACCTGATGGCTGATGTGTAGTAAGGATAAACAATTCAAGAATGACATGCATTTAGGCTGTGAAGTTTCTGAGAGCACTAAGAAAGTGTCGAATGCATTTCTGTTTATGTAGAACAGTTCTGGAAATGGACCGTCAACCTGCTGTGAATCTTACTGGAATTGATTTCAGTGGGGACGGATCCTCTGCTCACTCATTCATGTCTCCTCCCTGATTCTTCTGTTGTTCCAGGACTAGTCAAGGATGTGTCCACATCATAGTGGCTCAGACCAAGGACAACAAATACACACTGAATCAGACAAGCGCTGTGTTTGACAGCATCCCTGAAGTGGTACACTACTATTCCAATGAGAAGTTGCCTTTCAAAGGGGCAGAGCACATGACCTTACTCTACCCAGTGCATAACAAGCTTCACTGAAGTTCAGCCATCGAAAGTCCTGGGCCTCTGGCACCTATGAGGGCATCAGCACTCCCAACCCGCAAGCATCTCAGCAGACGGGGCCCAGCTGCTCATTAGTAACTAGCAGGAAGTGGGAGTCTTCATTTCACAAGTCCCAGAGTCTTGAATTCGTTCCATGGCATTTGGTTTTCTTGTCAAGTAGTTCTACAATAGGAAGTCATAATTTACCTGTTTCCTCCACCTCTGGAGCAGGGCCTTCTATTTAGGGGTTGACTCTCAGGAAAGGTAAGTCAAGAGTTCAGAAGCAATAAAGTGCTCTGGAAATGTGCTAGTTGGTACCTGGAATACCTGGCCGCAACACAAACCAACAAAAAAATCACTTGACTTTTACATATGATTGTGTGGATCAGAAATGTGTATAATGTCGGGCTCCTTATTTTAGGAAAATGGATGAACAGTGGAAAATAAGAATGATGGGCAAGAAAGTTATATTTCTCCCTCGAGTGTCCTAATTTAGCTCTGGAGTTTGTGAAAATTTATAACTTTAGAGTCTGGCCTAGGAATTATTTTGCTGGTCAAAGTTTGTGTCTTCTCAATCTCAGTGGACTTTTTCATCATTTTCCAGCCAATCAGTGATACAAGCACAAATAGGAAGAATGATGCCCCAGATGTGAGAGTCGCTGATGTAATTAAATATGGGCATCATTATTATAATTCTGAGTCACAAAATAAAATATAGAGCAAAAATTTCATTTCTAAATTTTTAAGTTCTCAAAGTTTTCAAAGCTCAACCACTGTCATCTTATTGGAGAATTATATAGAACTTCCAATATCTTTTGTTTCGTTTTGTTGTGCGTTTTAGTTGGTATGAAATCATTTTTAATTTTTGTCTCTGGGGTTTGCTTTCTATTTTTAGTAAATCCGAAAAAAAACCCAAACCAAAAACACACAACTCGGATCTGATTGTATGAATGGAGTCTAAAGCCTGCAGAGACTCTGTCATTCATTTCTCAGCAGACTGGCTTACACTGTACACAAGTGTTTTAAACGATTTTGAGGTTCTCTCTAACTATGATTACTTAAAATAGTAAATTAATATTCATAGTATTATCTTTGTGATTTATCATGAATCTATATCACCAATTTACTTACTGTGAAAAAAAAAACATAGGCATGGCATACTGTGAGAAGAATGCTATGGTGAGTGGCTCTGTAATTAAAATGGAACAGATGTTTCTGTATTCGTGGAGTTTGTAATTTGGTTCTCAGAATTGGTCCAGATGCAAAAGCACTGTTATCAATGAAAAGTTAACTTTTGTAGCTTCTTTTAAATATGTTAAGAAGTTAGCTTTTGAATAAAGAAAAATGCTGATTTGGTGGATTTTTAGGAAAGCATATCTTTCTAATTTTTAGTTATCATTTGAGTACTATAATTTAGAAGTTAGTAAATTTTTGCTTTTTTCTTTTTTTTTTCAGTTAAGATAATCAGCCAGAGGGGTTTGTGTTCTTTGATTTAAAAAAATTGAGAGGAGCTTCTTCTCACTGGAGCTCAATAATTTCGTTAATAAAGAATGTTTTGTTTTTTTAAATACTGATAAAATTTTTAAATGTCTCTTGGTTCATGTATTTTATCTTTAGTACAATATTTGTATAAAATTTTCAGCACTCATAGTTCCAGTGCTATTCAACAAATATTTATTATTTTCTATATACAAATTATTCATTGTGTTAAACTTATTTTTATTACAACATTCTAGAAACAAAGCCTTATTTTTTACTTAGTCTACAAAGGAAATACAGCAGTCATTCTAATTTTAATAAATGCTAAAATCTTTACAAAGTTTTTCTTTGTGCACTAAATGATTTTGGGCTCTTACCTGGCAACTCTGATGAGTGTATAATGAAATGATATTTTGAAAACAGGCCTGACACCGTGTTTGCTGAGCTTCTGTCATGCACCCAGTGCTGTGCTGTCCTCTATACTGCTTTGCCATGGCAGCCGTGCTATTTTCTTCATAGAATTAAAAGTGGAGGATATTTGGATTTATGTAGAGTTCAGTTACTTTGTAATTGAACAGGAGGTTATAAGAAGAAGCAAAACAATAAATTAGGGGAAGGGGTGTTAGCTACTGTTTTCTTAAGGTTGTGAAACAAGCTGATAAAAGGCAGACAGTTCACAGCTGGGGAGTGGCACAAAGTACCATATGTTCTAAGAACAATTAGGCCTGGCAGGTGTCCCTAAGGGCTTCCTAGTTAAGCCTCCTGGGCCAGCTGAGCTGAAAGCTCTATGACGAGTTCTCTGGGCTCTGAATGCTTGGACTTTTTGTCATTTTGTCAGGTCTGGATGAAAGTATTTTCCTGTAGTCTTCAGTCCTTCAAGTTAATTCTGTCTCCCAGTTATTTTGTAGCATTTTCTGGAGAGAATAATCTCTTTCGGTGAATTTTGCCTTGAATTTAGCATATCTATAGAGTTGTGCCTTTCTGTTGTGCGTATCTATAGAGTTATGTTCTTTCTCCCTTATCACTCCTCTGTCTTAAAAATACTCTGCTTTATGGTGGCATCCATAGCTCAGTGTGGGTAGGGTGCCAGCCACATACACTGAGGCTGGCGGGTTCAAACCTGGCCTGGGCCAGCTAAAATAACAATGACAACAGCAACAACAAAAACTTAAAAAAAAAAAAATAGCCGGGCATTGTGGTGGGCACCTGTAATCCCAGCTACTTGGGAGGCTGAGGCAAGAGAATCACTTAAGCCCAAGAATTTGAGGTTGCTGTGTGCTGTGACACCAAGGCAGTCTACTGAGGGTGACAGAGTGAAACTGCCTCAAAAAAAAAAAAAAGAAGTTATAAATCAATACATGGAAGGCATACGTTGGTTTGGCCTAAAAAAAACAGGACATATTGAAGCAGGGTTATAGGTGGGTTTAAAGACTCTTTGATTTGGGGCAGCGCCTGTGGCTCAAAAGGGTAGGGCGCCGGCCCCACATGCTGGAGGCGGGTTCAAACCCAGCCCGGCCCAAAAAAAAAAAAAAAATAGCCAGGCATTGTGGCTGGAGCCTGTAGTCCCAGCTACTTGGGAGGCTGGGGCAAGAGAATCGCCTAAGCCCAGGAGCTGGAGGTTGCTGTGAGCTGTGTGACACCAGGGCACTCTACTGTGGGCAATAAAGTGAAACTCTGTCTCTACAAAAAAAAACAAAACTCTTTGATTTGTAATTGGTTAAAGAAATGAAGCTTTGTCTGAAGGATCGGAATGTTGTAAGCTAAGATAAGGAAGTCTGCTAATCAGAGACAAGCCACCAGACTCAAGGATCTGTTAAGTACATTGAGGACCTGCAGGTGTGATTTAAGCATTGTCCTGTACAGCCTTCAGACTGTTAATGAGTTACAGAGGACATCTCCAAGAAGGAAGGGGACATGACAAGGCATGTTTGACCTTCCCTTCTTAGAACCAGCAGCTCAGCTTTAGGATATTTCTGGGATCCCTTTAGCCAAGCGGGTGTCCAGTCAGTCAGCTGCAAGACTTAAGATTTTCTTTAGTTCACAGGGGGAGGTGGGCAGATAATCAAGAAAGACAGCCAGATATTTTGGAGGCAGGTGGGAAAGTCCTAGTTTGTTAATTGAATTATTTAACTGCGCTATTACTATGTTATTAGCTATTGGTATTGGATATACCTAAATATTTAATTCAGGAGAACAACTATGAGATATTCTTCATTTGCTTTTTTTTTTTTTTTTGGAGACAGAGTGCCCTTTTTTTGCCCTTGGTAGAGTGCTGTGGCATCACAACTCACAGCAACCTCCACTCTTGGGCTTAAGTGATTCTCTTTCCTCAGTGTCCCAAGCAGCTGGGACTACAGGCACCCATCACAACACCCGGCTATTTTTTGTTGCAGTTTGGCCGGGGCCAGGTTTGAACCTGCCACCCTCGGTATATGGAGCCAGCGCCCTACTCACTGAGCCACAGGCACAACCCTTCTTCATTTGCTTTTTAAGTGAGGGCAACCTTTCTAGTCTACCAAAACGCTTGTTTATAGTCAAAGGTTAGCGCCACGTTAGGGAAGAGACCCGGGGATGTTCAGAGCTCAACCCACCACCCGCATGCTTTTGACACTTAGCGGGATCTCATCAATTCCTCTTTCACAGATATCTCTCATTCCCAGTTCTCTTTCTCCTTTTCCCCAACCAGAGCAAGCTGTGCTCTCTTTGTGTCCCTCTGTCCTGGAGGAACCGAGGGGAAGGCGGTGTGTTGCCGCCATCTGGTGGAAAATGTGCGCACTGCACTCGGGAAGCCGCGCGGACGGGCGGGGTCTCTGGAGGTTCTGACACCTGCAGAAAGTGACGACGCAGCAGTTGCCATCTTGACACGTGCCTTGTCCTGCAGACGTTTAATTCAACTGACAGCACAGACTCCCTTGGCTAGGGCTGGGTCATGTAATTTAGGATCTTAAATTGTATTTTAGCGAATATACTGGCAACAAATAATTTAAACAGGCCTCTCATTTTGTCGAGTTCTTATCCATTCAGTTATTTTATCAGGGGCGTTAACACTTTAGTATTCAACTAATACATAATTTTAACTTCTAAAATATTTGAAGATTGTATGGAATACAAGTGCCTATCAGAGTATCTTAGCATATCAGAAGTATTTTTTAACATTTTTGGTTGCATTGCTGTAGCCAATGTAGGCCGTAGATCCTATGTTTACTCTGAAATGTAACATTCCAAGAATGGAGTGGCATTGCTTAATTCACTTAGTTGCATTTTTTAATTTTTGAGACAGGTCTTGCTTAGTCACCTGGGCTAGAGTGCAGTGAGGTCATGATAGCTCCAACACTTGGGCTCAGGTGATCCTCCTGCCTCAGATTCCCAAGTACCTGGGACTACAGGAGGCACCAACACCCTGGGCTAACTATTCTAATTTTTTTTAAGAGATGGGGTCTTAATGTTGCTCATGCATGTTGAATTCCTGATTTCAAGTGTTTCTGCTCTCCTGCCTGGGCCTCCCAAAGTGCTAGGATTGGAAGTGTGAGCCACCATACCCGGCCAATCTTTTTTTTTTTTTTTTTTAATTTTAGAGATAGGGTCTCACTCTGTTGCCTAAGGCAGATTTCAGCCCAAGTGA